CAGTTCGGGGCCCAGTGTGCCAGCTTGTCGTTTTGCTGTTGGAGCCTTGGTTCCACCCTTCAGACACAGTCCAGGACGACATTGTGACTACATGTGTAAATAACTGATTATATATCTGCCCGCGTGTTAGGTCAGGCTGAAGGTACATGCAGTCATGCAGTCTAACGATGACTAAATGTCGCTGGTTGTCGACTGCGCTGAGACATGTAGAGACGAGTAGTGCTTCTTGGTCCCAGACAGGGGGCTCCGAGTCCCTCCAGGCCTGGCGAGAAGCCCAAGCCCACAAAACTTCCGGGCATCTGGGCATCGTCAATTTTCGGTGCCCGGTCTGCGTCGGCCTCTGCTGCCAGGAGCTCGTGCATGCGCAAATGGTAGATTTGCACCTGCTATATAGGGCAACCCCACGCACAGTGGCGCGTGTGCGGCAGCTGCGTGACGGGCCGCCTAAGCGCGGCGGCATCACAGCATCCTGGCCGGTGGCCGGCTCGAAGAAACTTAGGTGGCCTCTCAGGGCTTCGTGGAACACGACCTGACAAAAAAAAACGAGCCGCGGCTGCTGTGTCTTTCGCAAGTTCGTAACACTGGACAGCAGTTTGCTGTGACTGAGCCACAGGGGTGCACACTGTTGGGCTGCGGTGCCTCCTTGCCCGCAAAGTCCGCCTCTTGCAGAAGCCGCTGCCCGTCCTGCGGCCGGACATGCAGTTGTTGGGCGCAGGCCTTCTGACAAAAAACTGTCCGCCTCCAGCGTTCTCAAGCAAACGTGGCGCAGCACTTCCCGAAGCCCCGAGCTACCGGTGCGCTGCTCTGCCTGCAGAGGAAGAGGCTTTAGCATGTCTTTGCTAGCTATGCCAAAATCGCTCGCTTTGGGCACCGCGCATTTGTTTTTGCAGAGAAGTGCGACTTGTGGCTGTACCGCGTAATAACCCCGCAAGCACATCGTCACGGATCTACTCGCGATGAGCGAACAGAAGGCCCCTACATGGCACGAAGACAGCCTCCCTGCTCCGCACAACTTTGCTGGCGAAGTATGCAGAAGCGCCTGCGCCAGTAGGGCCTCGACCGCAAACCGCATGAGCTCTAGCTCGGACCCCGCTGCAGCAGGGAGCTCCTCCAGGAACTTCCCGCGACTTGAGGTCGCATGCGTGCGCGAGATTCGCTAGCCGCTAGATGCTGGAGCTGTAGTCGAAGCGTCGTCCTCATGCTCTTCGCGGTACTTGCCTCAACCGGGAAATGCAATTAAATTAACCTCCGACTCCAGTTGTGAACCCTCGCAAGCAGAGCATGCGACCCAGCAGGCTTGCCATCAGCGGGGTCTGCCAGACCTTCGCCCCAGCGCGTGGCTGTTTACTAGTGTGTGAAGCAAACAAGACATGTCCCATGTCCAGACTCAGGTACACAGACACACGCACACACACAGGAAAATTGACATTGTGGGACTGCGAGTTGACTAGTCAGCGGATTCTGGATGCAAAGGCTTCGTCTTCACGCCTCAGTAGCCAGAGCGCACAGTTCATCCTGCCGGCATTTTGCGATCCTCCCATGCAGGGCCACATGCACGCCCTAAATTAGAAATCAAACCCCCCCCCTCTCCCCCCTTTCTCAATCCCGCCTTGCCGCTGCTATCTTCGTCAGCGGCAGCAGCTCTAGAGGCTGGAAGCAGAGCCTCCGACGCTCCGACAAGCGCAAAGTGACATGGCAACCAGCAGTGCCAGCGATGCAGCCGAGGCCGCGGCCCTGTGGCAAGCTCGGTCTGCGTCGTCAGCTCTGTGAACTCTGCAGGGCACTCAGTGACGGCGCGGTCCATGGTAAGGACAAAGCAGCCTCAGTTCAGCTTCCATTGTGCTCGCTGCAGATGCCACAGCGAAGAGATAAGGAGCATTGCTGTTTGTCGACGAACCCGAATGCCAGACACGTCACGTACGGTGAACTAAAGAGACCCCGAGCACGACACGAGATACAAAGTGAAATGTCTTATCCATATTTTTGCTATTTCATGTTCCGTTCTTTTCTGTCGTTCTTTAATTATTTCTTTTTTGTTCTCTCTTTCTCTCTTATTTATCTCCTATCTCTCTCTCTCTCTCTGTCTCTCTCTTCCTCTCTCTCTTCCTCTTCTTCTTCTTCTTCTTCTTCTTCGCCTTCTTCTTCTTCTTCTTCTTCTTCTTCTTCTTCTGCTGCTTCTGCTTGGGCCTGAGGGGGCTGGGCGGACATCCCCGCGCACTTGCCGGCCCGAGCCCGTGTCCACAGTGAGACTTTATCCCAGGTACTGGTTCTGACACCTTCTCCGTAAACCTTCATTCGTGAGGACCACTACACTCCCAGGCCAACTTCAAGGCGCTCAGCCGACTACTGGGGCTTGGACGCGGGCCGGGCGAACCTCTGCCTAGCCAAGATAGCAGACAAGTGTATTCCGTAGACAACAGTATGGTATGTCTGCGTTACACCCGTCCCCGTCCCCCCCTCTCCATGTCTGAAGTGACATGTTATACACGTTTCCACCCATGCCTGCAACAGCCTCAGTGTTTTGATTTTTTCTTCTCCCTCTCTCTCTCTCTCTCTCTCTCTCGCTCTCTCACTCTCTCACTCTCTCGCTCTCTCGCTCTCTCGCTCTCTCGCTCTCTCTCTCTCTCTCTCTTTCTCTCTCCTTTCTCTGTTTCTGCTTTTGTGGCCTCCACGCCAAGTAAAAGTGACGACAGTCACCAGGATGGCCCACCCCCCATGCCTCATCCTTTTGACTGTCAGCACGTTTGCCACGCTAACAAAGAACGAGGCTCCAAAAGCGACGACGACAGTCCGAGCATGGAACAGCCCAGGTGCCTCATCCTCGTGACTGTCTGCTCTCTTGCGGCAACCGAAGACCCAAGGTATCATATTGTGCGGGCGCTTGTAATAATCTTAACCTGCCCGCAGTACCTGCATTAGCTAAACATACGGCCTTTTGGACACCTTTCTTCTCGTGTCATGTTTGCGCTCTCATATCATTGCTATATTACATTATAAGCGTAGTGATAATATAGTACTTTTACGCGCATGAATTACTATAAAGCCTATACTATAAAGTGACGACAGTTACGAGGATGGCGCACCTCGATGACCCCTGAGAGGCCTCATCCCCACACCATCAACACTTTTGAGACGTGCAGAACCCAAAATAACGATGCTGGCCTCGCGCAACTCCAGCTCCGCAACTCTTGAAACGGGAGCCCTTCTGCTACGCATTCGGGAAATATACACCCGCAAAGTATGGCAAGAGGCGCTGGTGTGGCAGCAGCTGAAGGTTCTTGCTTTCTTCTTCATCACTCAGAACTATGACATCACCTTGGCAAGGGCCGGCGGTGGTCGGCTGTATGCCCCTTCGTCCGTTAGGCTGCTTGGCTCGCTGTCTTGGGACAAGCTTCCAACTTGCAAGTCGCCAGTGAGTAAAAAATGGCACTCACCAGCAAGTTGCAGGGTCCTGGGTTGCTCATGATGCTCCAACACTCCAGTTTCTCTGCCCAGAGGCTCAGCGAGCGCTGTGCAAAGCAAGCGAGGCCCACGCACGTCTGTGTCATCCACCTCCCTGCCCTGCAGGCCCCCGCCCTCGGCCAGCATCTGGCATAAGTAGACGGCGTACGGGGGGTGATGCAACTCAATATCCTCGATCTTGTGGTCCTTTGTGGCTGTGGATGCTACTGGCGTGCCTGATTTGCACACAGGGCAGTGCATTCTCACTGCGGATCGACTCCCCCAGTATTCAAAGAAACCGCCGGGGTGCCTTACAGGCAAGCTTACGGTAGCTTGCAATCGCTAGGACTCGAGAAGGTTTCGCAAAACGAGTCAGCCCCCAACTTGGATCTACAACTCAAAAGACACAGTGGAATCATGAGAGACATCAGCAACTATATCTCCAGACCACATGCCCCGCAGTCCTCTTCGCAGGTCCCATCAGTCCAAACGATGCCCATCTTGTAGGGGTTCGTGGGGTCGCCGCCCGCCTCCCGGAGCATTTGCTCCAGGACCCCGTCCCGGGCTCGGGCTGCATCTGCTGGCCCCTGCAGCATCAGCGCGGCAGAGAGTATCCGGCGGGGGTCCTGCAACTGATCACGGCGTTTGCTTTTGGGAGGACCCTCCTTCCCCAAGTCTCGCCATTCGAAAGCTGCAAGATATTGCCAGCCCAGGTCCTTCCGCCGAACCTTTAACTTGTCTCGGTGAAAGTCTAGGTGACGGCGTATGAGCTTCCCAAAGACCTCGAACAGCTTGGTTGCGAGCTCGACGCGCGTGAGCCAGAAGCCCTGGCAAAGCCCGTTACAGCTCACTTGCTACCTGTGCGATGTACTGCGCCTGTGCAATGGAGGCCACCCGGTTCGTGGCCAGGCGCGAGCTGCCCTGCAGCTCGACGTAGCTCCCCTGCAGCTCGACGTAGCTCTTTTCGGGCAGCGGGTCCTGAACCGTCATTGCGAGGTCTATCTTCCAACTCGCCCAATTTCCCCACTCATCCCGCGAGCTCCGGCGTGACGAAACGGGTCTCCGACAGCTGGGCAAGCACTGGAATGTGCATCGCATCGCGGACGATGTCATCGGCCTCCAAGACCCTCAGCTGCACGAGGCTTGTTGGGAGCATGCAGCTGGACTGCTATAACTGCTCGGCCGCCCCATACTCCATTTCGCATGCGCCCTACGCAGAGTAGACAACGATGCACACACACACACACAGACGCAGACGGGACAAACTGTACTGAGCCAGGCTTGGGCCGGCTATTGGGGCCGCTCAAGTTCTTAAAGGAGGGCTTTATAACATGCCCCATGCGCTTGCAAGTTGGGGCCATGGCCGTTTCACAACGGCGACTGGGATGCATTGACTGCACTGCCTGTACGTGCTCAAAATTGCGAGTGGTATTTTGCCATGCGCATAACTAGTCCGGCAATGCGCTTTGCACATAGCCGGGAAGAGAAGTCTATCTCGGGTGACAGATATAAGGATAAACAAGTCAAAGTCCAGGAGTCAAAGCAATTAAACAAGGATCAAAAAAGGCAAAGCTCTTGCTGTCGGTTATATGACTTGGCCGTGTCATATAGCAGGGATTTGCAAAGGCTTCGTGGATTCTTTGTGAAGCGAAGGGGACATGTTTCAATTCAGTGCCATTGCTTTGACTTTGCCAGAGGCCCTTAAGAAGGCTGGGCCCTTGAGATGGATGGGCTTTTGGCTTGAACTTTCTTGCAAGCCCCCTCCCATTTGCAACAGTGTCCGTGCAGCCCAATTCCATATGCCAATCTCTTCCGGAAAAGTTTTGTGCTTACACGCCTCGTGCGTTTTTACTTACGCGCACAGTGCTAGCTTTCGCGAATTGGTTTCCGGGCCTGGTCGTTTGAACGGGCTTGCGTGGTAGGTGTCTTCAGCAGCCCCCGTAATATACAACGCCTTTGACACGCTTTTGGGCGGCATGCGCGAGATCGGCGAGATGGGGCATCGATTTTTTTCCGACCCCCCATTTTGTTTTTGACCCCATGGTCTTTTCTTGAACCTCCCCCCTCTTCATGTTGACTCCCCCCGCCCCACCTCCAATTTGACCCCGTTCTTTACATCCCCCGTTTCTGGGTTCCGTTCACCCTGCTCTAGGGATTCGCTGGGCTTTGATTTGCCCTTTTCCCTGAATCCTGAAGCTGTCCTGGCCACTTTCGGCCTACCCACTCACTTGCCACTCCAGGTGGTTGCCCCGACATGCCCCGACCAGAAACCGATTTCAGCAAACCAGCTCCGCTGTTGTGGCCTTTTTTCTCACTCACAACGTTGAGCACTCACAGGCTGCAGCCAACATCACAAATCACCTTAGTGATAGTCATGGACCTCCGCAGCGGCGACATGACCCCAAAGTAAACTATATAGGCAACCTTTACGTTCGCGTGACCGCACTGAGATGCCGGCTGATCGGTGCCCGAGGGCCGGCTGGTCATGACGACGCAAACGCAGCAGCTGCTGTGAGCCCTGCAGCCAGACCAGAACCGAACCCTAATCCTCGGTTTTGTGGAAGGGCCGACATGCTTTCCACCGTACAGTAGCACCGACTTATCAGCAAGGTTCAGGGCTGGAAAGCTGTAGCCGTAGCATGCTGTATACATAAAATTTCTGGACAAGCAGTGGGGCCGCTGCAGGCTTTCATGGTGTGGTCTTTGCTGCATTCCTGCTTGACAGCTATGCATGCGAGCATCCCTATGTGGAGTCGACGACGGTGGTTGGGATCCCCTACATTGCCGGACGAGGCGCTCCAGCCAGCCCTGCAGCCAGTCAACGATCCGCCGGCGAGCTGCACCAGCCTCGTCAAAGCCGTCAAGCACCAGGAGGAGCTTCACGTCGCCTGGCAAACTGAGTTCGGGACGGCAATAATCACCGGAGCAGAGGGACCAGCGGCGACAAGCTGCGGCGCACCGCGAAAGAGCTCCCGGCTGTCGGTGCCGAAGGCACGCTCGGCCCAGCTCCAGAGCCTTGGCCCAAAAGCAAATGTGCGACATGCAGCGGAAACATGAGAAACTTGGCGAACGATGGCGAAGGAGGTGACAGCGATCACGGGCTCAATTTGCAGCATGGCTGCGGGTCTTCGCCGAAATCCTGCCAGGATTCTGCTGGCATCATGTGCTGGTAATTGGCTTCTTTCTTCAAAACCCAGGCCCTGGAACTTGAACGTGGGCTGGGTCTTCTTCCGGCCGGCCTGAACACTCCCTTTTAGTAGCTGAGACTACGCAAAGGTGCACGGATGTTCAAGACGGGTGTTGTCTCCCTATCTCTTGTAAGGCCCCGGATATTCAGAATGTCGAAGGCATTGTTTGCATGCTACTGCAGCCCCCCTTTTTAGGCATGCCTTGTCCTGGCATCGTGCAATGAATTGCCGGGCTTGTGATGTCCTGCACGTGTTGCGCCAGCTCAGCGAGGGGGACACGCACGGGTACGACGCCGGCTGCCGCGGGGTCCTGTCCTGGGTCTTGGAGCTTGCACGAAGGCTTGTTGCGACAAGAACCTCTGCCTGAGGATGGCTGAGCTAAGGCCAGAGCTCGCCCAGTCCACCTAACACACGTTGCAGCAGCACAGGTTTACCGCTGGCCTTCTTCTCTACAGGCAAGGACATCTTCACTGCACGATGAGGCACCACCCTCCGCACCACCTCCCTTGTGAAGACCGTCTTCCCGGAGCCTGACGGCCAACAGCACCCTGCTCGAGCACTCGCCTGCAACTCCCAGCCGTGCCAGCATCGCCAGCCTCCAGGCCCCAGCAGGAGGATCCTCCGCAACTGGCCCTGGCAGGTGGGCCGTGGCGTGGTTGGTATGATTTCGTGAGCCCTGCCATGGAAACCCCCCAGAGGTCTTGGGAACCTATTCTTCGCGGGAAGCATATAAGCGAGAAACAATCGTGGCCTGATTATGAAACTCTTTTATATGGGGGAAAAACGATGCTGTGTTGCCAGTGGGCTGGGAATCTGAGTTTCGGGACTGCTAGCTGCGGCAGGTGCATGCGCCCGAAATATTCAAAGCAACGGCTTCGTGGCAGCTTCCGGCGGAGAGATATTTCCGCATCAGTTTCACGCGCCGGTTCCGGAACAACGCAATGAAGGTTAAGTATAACAAAACGCGAACAACACCGTAATTGAGGTGGCTTGGCCGGCTGCTTTGTGCCCCTGCAAATCCGACTTGCTTGCCTCAATGCAGGCATCGATGATGGCGTTGGAAAGCCTCACCTGTGAGAGGACAAGGCAATCACCAGGTCCCCCAATGATGTCCAACAGCCACTCCTTGACTCGGGCGCCTCCCCCGTCGACAGGTCCTTCAGCTCGATCTCTTCAGGCTCCACCTGCTTGCCTGGCAGTTCGTTGAGAAATCTCAACACGACTTCTTAGGTCTGTCAACCCTTTCAGTCCCACCCCAGGCTGTCGGACTGCGAACCTGTGAAAATGTTCCGGGTGATGGCGAGGCTACCGGCAAAGGTCAGGAGGTCCATGACCTCTCTCTTCTCAGCACAAGCCTACTATGATGCCTATTGAGTCTTGACTCGCGATTCAGGGACGAAAAGGCCCACGCCTGAAGCTGGATCTTTCCAAGGACTGCCGTCCAGCCGCCGGGGTGCTCTGAGATTTTGGCTTCGATCTTCAACTTGTCCTCAGAGCCGCGATCACCCCCGAAGGCAAGTGCAAGGGCTCGATGGGATAGGCGCAAGGAATGGATACGGGTGGAAGGCTTACGACTCTTGCCTACAACAACCCTCGCTCCTTCTTCGTACGGAGGTTGGTGCACAAAAACTTGGGCACGCGCCCACACACCCACACACACCTTAGTTGTTCTAAATTCAGCGGAGCCTCCTCCCTCTCCGAGCTCCCAACATCCTTGAGATTGATTTCTGTGAGCTGCTCGATGATCAGGTTCATGAGGGGCGACTTGCTAGTGCGGCTCAGCTGACCGTCGATGCTGAACCTTCGCAGCAGCAAGTAGAACGCAAGCAGAAACTGCCAAGATCTGAAGTCCCTTGTGAGACTGCCTCTCCTGATTGACCGTCAAAGCGGCAAGAGTCTGCGCTCACGAGAAGGGGCGTACAGCAAACGTGATGAATACCAAGGGGGTTTGCAACTTGCAAGCGCAGTTGCCCCCCCTGACTGACATGATCGTCTGCGATGCCAAGGCACAGGTCGAGTGTCAGGCCCAAGGAATGGCACCGGAAGATCTCGTATACGCACCAAATGCGCCTGCAAAGCATCCGCGGCGCAGGCAAGCTCTCTCCCCCCCATCTAGCTCAACATGGCTCACTTTTATGTACTGTATGCATATAATTAGTCTCTATGAACATGCATTGAGCGGAGGACTTGTTATCTGCCAAGCTACGTGAGCGGGGCACATGCCGCATCGAACCTGGGGCATACAGTACAGCATGGCATCTTGCTGGCTCGCTCAGGAACCTTTCTGGCAATATAAGACTTTCAGCAATGCTCGCACAACTAGCATACGGCTCGAAAATGCTCGAAAGCTGAAAGCCAGCAAGCGAAGTTTCAGGCCCGCGCATCATCACGGCACCGTACATTGGCTCCTGCCGCTCGCGGTAGCCTTATTGCTGCGACACGTCACCCCTTCTTAAGTCCCCGACCGGAACCCGTATGTGATGGCTAGCTACTCAAGACTCGATGGGGGCTGTTTAGGTGTATTTGCGGAGTTTGGGGAGGGATTTGTGGGCGCAGGTTGTTGGAATTGAGGATTGGGGCATATAGGGCGCTTCGGCTCATGTTCTGGGGTCCTCTGCACCCCTAGAAGATGTGAAACCGAAACCCCCTAAGTCCGGCAGGCAGCAGGATGCGATGTGCTCCAGGGCCAAGTTAAATGGGGACTGCGCGAGGTCGTCTCCACCCAGATCCTGGGCTTCTGAGATTCTAAGGCTTGTTCATGAGGAATTGCGCCTTCGACCATGCTGTAAGTAGTTGGTGTGTGTATGCCCGATAAATTACAGCAACAACTTGTGTGGAGTTCAGGGTCTTCAGAACGCGAGGCGTAAGTCACAAAATCCTGAACCAGTGGCCTGAAGCAACAACGTGTTGAGTGATGCCGCGTCATGCTGCGTCATGTCGCAAGCTTACGAGAAAAAGCATCTGAAGCTTCTGGGACCACAGCAGCCCCGCCCCTAAGCAAAGCTCACACCCGAAAAGAAAGTCCCGAACTGCAACCGGAGGCTTTACTTGGAGGCTCTGAGGCACAGACCACGCAATGTTGGTTGTTTGAGAACCTGAGTATCGATCGAAGCAAAGTAGTCGCCACACCTATCGGGGCGTAAAGGGTCTACATGAGCCAAGCATTTCTCTCTGAGATTTTGAAAGGCGACTGCCTCTCTTCCGAGCCTGCACAGATGAGGCATCGCAATTGGCAAGTAGCCCATGTTGAAGGGCTGGCTTTGACTTGTCTCAAACCTGGAACATCAAACCTTGAGAACCCCCTGTACTGCCCGCCGGGTCACGTGCACACGTAGTAGCACACCTCCCCTGGCGCAAAGTACTCTTTTGTGCTTACTAGTACGAGTTTTGGAGTGCCAGGGGGGTCAGGGTCCCGCGGTGCGGATGACAGATGCAGCATGATGCCCCTGCACCTAACTCTCACACCTCTGTGTCCTGCCCCTAAAGTAGTCGTCAAGGAGCCCCTCCGCGACTCCGAACACCAACATGCAGAACTCCCCAACAGAAGGATGAAGGCTGGATACGCTCTCGGGTCCCAACTCCAGCGCCCTGAACCCCCTTGCGGGCCTGGGTCTTCGGGGTAGACCTTCTTGGCGTGCTGCAGCAGGATCTGGGAAAACTCGATGGTCTCCTGGAAGCTCCACAGCATGAGCCCCCAAGAATGCGAAGAAGTCGAAGTTTAGGGTTTCGGGGTCAGTGTTTCGGGTTTAGGGAAGGGAGTGTACCGTAGCCAAGCCGCATCCTAGCATTTGGCCTCCTAAGCGGAAATCTGAAAGGCCAAAAGTAAGGGCTGATGGGTGTGGCGGGGTGCACAGGCCTTGTGCAAGGGCACTTTCGAGGGTATTCCATGACTATGAAAGTGCTGCTGCACGCACATCAACAACCCAACGAAACGAAACATGCCACTCGAGCAAGCGGCGACTCAATCTGACCTGAGTCGACCGAGCGGCTGCCCAAAGCCTCTGGCTTTGTTGTCTCCCTCCCGGCTTCCATGATTTTGGCATTCAGAAGCGCCAAGCATATCAGCTCCCACCACATGAATGGGGGTAGTGGGTGGTTCGAAATCTGAAGTGCCGAACTGAGGGAGACCCAACGTTTTGTGTGCATGCACACCTACCGCCTTGGCCTTGGCGTGTAACCCGCGGCAGCTCTAAAGTTGCGGACTATAGACGACCACAAGCACTGACAAAAACTACGTGCCACTAGGGTGGTAAAGAGGGAATGTCGAGCAACCTGTCCTGGCCCCAATAATGAGAAACGAATCCGCAAAGCGGAGCAAACTTGCCCTGCTCTGTGACATCCACAAAGGCCACCTGTTGCGGGTCCCAATCGTCCTTTTCCCTCAAAACCATGATCTGGAGTAAGTGCGTGATGTACGCCGGCACATATACACATGCAAATGAATCAGGTTTTAAATGTGAATATGAATATGAATATGAATATGTATATGTATGTATGTATGTCTGTCTGCCTGTCTGTATATGCATAAGTATAACACGTCTCTTGCCTGCATCCAAGTGGCGCCACTGCGGAGCACAACAACTGTGCCTTCGACCTTCAGTCGCTTCTTGTTCCTGCGGGCGTTCTTCTCACCCAGCTTGAGGCCGCGGAGCTTCTCAGGGATGGCTGCCACGCCCTGGCCCAAGAATGCGATGCTCAGGGAACTGCTGAATTCTGAATACAGCCGAGATATAGTGTCGAAGTATGATGTGGCATCGGACTGCTGTAGCAGCAGTTAGTAGCAGAAGCGGTGGGGCAAGAGCAAGTGGAAGGAGGAGTCGTACAGTCTGTGTCGTAGACGTTGTAGCAGATATTGGTAAGGTGTTTGCTAGGTAGGGCAGGAAGAGTATGCTGCCGGTGCCGTCCTGCATCCGCCCATGCTTCTCCGTGGTCATCCACGTGTGATGACGCTCCTAGGCTTGGGAATTGGGAGCTCGGGCTTGATGGTTACAATATTGGGTTAAATGGGTCGAAGGCCCCGAACTCCACCAGAGCAACCTTATCACATTCCGATTTGCAGCATCCGTCTCGAATGACCTGTAGAAAGCAAAGAGCCTGCGGCAAGCGGCGTCGCCGCTCTGCCAGTACTTGACACGCAGATCGCCTTCTTCGCCTCACGCATGCCCACGTCTACGGCAAAGTTCGGTGTTGGATGGGCCTGCGACCCCCTACAGTCTTCCGAAAGCCATGCAACAAGATGAGACTCACAACTGCCGAGCGCCCGACATAGGATTCCTTGAATCGTCAAGTGCTCCTTGGCAGTGTCGACGACACAGAAGCAACGTCTCGTAACCATGCCACGCACGATCAACACCTTTCAATGCGATGCGGCTCCCCCCCAAAAAAGTCTCTGAAAGAATCTGTTCAAGAGAGACGTCCGAGCTTCCACAGGGACCCCTCCAAGCCGGACGCCCTTCCGGCATTGCAGGGTTCCCTTCTCGAAGATCGACTCAGTGGCGCCCGTCTCAAGGGACCGAGAGATCGCCTCAACGTCCTCCTGTGAAAGCTCCACGACGCGCTCGATGCCTTAGGACAGCCGTCTGCTGCGCTTCTGAGGTTCTGGCACGGTCTACCCGAAACCCTATATTATAAACCCTGAACCCTAAACCGGTCTATGCGAAACGCTATAAACCCTCAACCCTAAACCTAGAATAAGTCTCAAATCGAAGAAGAATAGAAGCCGGGCAGCTCGTGGTTTTGGCCTTGGTCCGCTGCTCCACTGGGGGAAAGGGGCGCTGGAGCTCTCGACTGTGGGGCAAAAAAGCGTTTCAGGAGGTTGGGTTTAGGGTTTAGGGTTTAGGGTTTAGGGTTTAGGGTTTAGGGTTTAGGGTT